CCGAAGAAAAAAGCAATGAGAGAAGGGAGAAAGGAAGAGAAAACAAAAACAGAGAGAGAGGACGAGTTGGTTGTTCCTGGGGTCGCATCTGTGCCGTTCCATTTCTAAGGTTGCTAAATGCTATGGTATCGAAATCTTACAGACCGGACGGTGGCATGTGTCGCCGCCCCTTTATGTGTTGTTCCGGAGTGCTCATCCATCGTGTTGCGTGGATTCTGAACGTCCGCAGATTGTGTATGGTTGCTGCGAAGAACATACCGGGTTGGATTCGAACGCATGAAATCCCCCATGGACCCTTACCTGCTCTCATGACGCATGCAGTCGCTTGCCAAGAGGGTGAGCGAAGGTGGATGATGGGGATTGGCTATAATGTGTCCCCGTTCATGAACTTCTCACTTGGAAATGCTCATTCTGAAGTTCTGGTCTCAAATCTATCCGCTGAAGCGGAATCGAGTAGCCTCCAACCGGCCTAAGCCCTCGCGAGGCGCCACGTTTCGTCGGCGATATGAGTGGGTAAAATCTGTAAGATGCTGTTAGTCGTAAAAGAGACTGTGGAACGGTCGGGCTCGGTCCTACCTTGTAGTAGCGATCTGATCTTCCGGATTTCCCTGGTTTGCACTTTGTCGGCGATGCCTTTCAGCAGCCGCTCTGCCTCCCCTGGCTTCATGGTCCCGGCCGGGAGCATCTGGAGCGTGGACTGCACCCACGCCCCCGCTTCTTGGGGCACCAAGTCAAAGAGAGTCATCATAACGCCCGAAGCGTCCGCGAAGCAGTCCCCAGGGAATGAGAACATCATTCCAGTCAGAATCCTCTGGGTAAGAACTTGACCCTGGGCAAGGATCAACTGCTTGACAGCCTCTCTGACCTCAGGTGGATTCGTGTACGAATCCCCGTCGGAGCTGGTGAACTCCGAGACGGCGGGCTTTTCGAAAGCGAAACTGAATAAATCATGGTAATAATGCAGTGTCGCAATGAGAGGATCAATCTGCTGGAGAGTAAGGGCGCTGAGCGCCGCAGAGAAAATGGGCACTGCGAGGGACGAGGTGATGCACTCTTTGGGGTAGAACCGGACAGCGTCCGAAGAAAGACGGTAAAAGTCCTCGATGACTGGACAAAGTTAGCGTACCTATGACAAAAATCATACCAGACGAATAGAGCTTACCATCGGGCAGGTTCTCTGGTGGCAGCTCATTCAGGATCCGTAGAAAAGCAACTGCCTGTTGTTCGTAGAACTGGAAGACAGCATTGCTTGTCGACCGGTCGACGAACTCGGTCCCTTCAGCAAACTCGCGCACAACGGCGTCGGTGGCCCACAAGAAACATCCTTCCCGCGAAGCCTCGAATCCGTTGGCAATGCTCTGGGCCAGCGTGGGCAGCAGAGGAATCATCGCAGTTCGGTACGAGATGATCATATACCGCCAGCAACGGCACACACGCTCCAATATGGGAGTGGACGAAGTGAAGTTCATAACAATCGTCGTCATAATGGGCAGAATCTCGCCGCAATACTTGACGGCCGGGTTGTCTTCGTTCGGGCCAACATAAGGATTCACAACTTGCACAAAGATTGTAATCAATTGTAAGTGATCTGCATAGGGATTGGTCAGCTACTGCTTCCGCAAGATATGGAAAATGCAAGTCAAACTTACCGGCAACAGCGCGCTGGCCTTGCTCATCGCTTGCGTTGTTCGCCAGATTCATGATCCGTGCCATGATGGGATCACAAAACAACTTCATAGTTTCGTAGATCTTGTCAAGAGGCTGGACAGCAACAACAGCAGCAACGCCCTCAGTGACTTCTTCCTGGCTGGCTGGCTTCAACTTATCGATGACCGATTCATAGAAGGAATGAAGCTGCGGAATGTGCCCTCCCAGTAGCTTCTGACAGTCTGTACCCAAGAACTTGAATGCTAAGGCGGCAGCCTGCACGACCTCGGGAGAACTATGCTGGAAGCCAGAGATGACATAGTTGAGTTGTGCTTCCAGGGTTTCGGGATGTTGAGCGGTCCATTCAGTGTAACGTGCGAGCGCCATGATAGCCTGGAATCGCACCTTCTCCTGATTCGGTATTTGAACAATCAATGGAATAATCTGCGAAAGGACTGTACTTTCCTCGGGATCGACCATGCGGCCCATAGCCCGCAAACTGAAAAGTGGTGCCTCAAGTTCCTGCCAGTGAGGAACATGTTGGTCGCTTGCTTGAGATGCGTACTTGGAGACCCACTGTTGAACCAACGCGTTCGCCTTTGACAAGCACTCGGTAACACCGATGACGGCGCAGCAATCCTTGAGTACGTCGCCCATGGAGTGCCGGTAATGACGGAATTTCTCTTCCTGTTCCCGATCACCACCGAATAGATCGGTTTCGCCCTCTTCAGGAACTGGGTATTCAAGATGTTTGACCATGATGTCCACCAGCTTTGAGAATACGTCAGTGAAAGCGACACGCGCGTCTCCGTATCGCTCAAGTGTGACGTATTGCTTCAGCTCGTACCAGAAGACGAAAGTAAGAGAAACTGCGTCATGCTCCCAGTCTCGGGCGCAGCATTCAAGAACCGCTTCCACCAGGCCGCGGAACTCGGAAGGTAGCCGGGCAATCATCACAACCCAAGCCTCACCGGCCTCTGCAAAAAGCCTGGTGATACCCTTGAACGCGTCTGCATCTTCTGCCTCGGCGAATTCCGCGATCTTTGGACGCAGAGCCAATAACCGTGGATATAAAGCCTGAATGATTGACACCGATTCATCGACTTCTCGCGTATCCCTGTAGAGGGTGCATATGCTATCAACAGCGGATTCGAAGGAGACATCGTTGTCCAACGCTTTCAAGATGACATCCATCAAAGGCGATTCAACAATTTTCGCGGCCGGGATCTCACGCATCCAAGAGGTTATACAGTCCAAGAGACGTGGGTTGGTCGATGCTGTTGCTAAATGCGGACGAAGTGGGCACGGATTAGTATATAGCGCCGTGAGAATGACAGACGTGTACTTACGGGATGACCGGGCATATTGGATCAGTAGATGCATCACCTGCTCTGCATTGTCTTCCAACAACTCCTTAGTCCGCGTCAAAAGATCCTCTTCCTAAAAAGATACACCTGCATTAGAGTCTGTTTCACTGATGGTGGATTGTGCCGATCCGTTGAGACTGGGTTATGAGTGGTGAGACGTTGGTTCTGCCGGAACGTACACTGAGATTGATTTTGCGACCTTCCGTCACTTCCTCTGGTAGGATTTTAAGGAATTCTAGGACACAGTCGCCGGCGCTGCTTCCTAGAGCCGACCCGACGGTAGCAAGGACATCTTTCCAGTCGGTCATCTGAATGGCAAGGCTCGCCAGACACACGCACAGCTGTGTCTGTATCGGTCGTGGACCAGACGCATAAGCCACGAGGAGGTTCAGCACAGAGTCTCTCAAAGCAACTACAGACTCCGGCGGTAGTTGATCTAAATCGAATATGATCTATTAAGGTCAGTATTTCTATGCACCACATTTCCTGACGATCATGGCATATGTTGCTGCACCTTTCCCTTCAGTGTGGTCGCTGCGAACAACTTTGCTTCAATAGGGACATCCGGCGACTGTAAGAGCTCATGGGTGATACTCCAAGCCTCGATCTAGATAGAAATATCAAGTGTCAGGCAGGAATTCTGTGAATCCGTGTGGGGTGCGATCGAGGGGTTCAACTCACGGACTTCTGGAACTTTTCAAGGAACTCATGAGCATGTGTCTTCTCACTTCGTGATACGTTTCCTTGCATTGTAGCGACTGCTGCGAGAACAGGACCAAAGGCCTGCCCTGCGGCCCCTCCCTTGCTGGCCATGGTCGACAAAGGTGGGATGTTTTGATCTAGTGTATAGGAGACGGAAGCGGAGGGGTCAATCCGGCCGGAAAGGCTCAAAAATTATAGGAAAATGTCATGTACACTCATTAAATGAGCATTAGATGAGAGATGAAACGAGGGCTCCAAGCACCGGTACTCAATAAATGTGGTGAACTGATAGATCGGGCAACCGTCCTTACGTAGTAGGGAAAGTGGGATGTGGTGACGAGAAACTCAAATGGAAAAGTTGGTGAGCCGCAATCGTCCCCCCAAGGCGGCCAAAGAAAACGTGCGGGTGAAGGAACCTCCTTCAACCAGCTTAGCTTTGCCTGATAACCACCACCACGGACAGAGCCTCAACACGAATTCTACAATTAACAACGACACTATCGAACGACGCCCAGTCAGTTTCAGTGCCAGCTACGTTCTTTTGACAATTTTCCACGTCGCGTGTCCATCATGTCCGGCCGAGCAGGCGGTGGAGGTGCTCGCAAGACGCTGCTTGCGCCAATTCACTTCATCTTCAAGCTTCTGCAGCAACGATCGACGGTTTCTATTTGGCTCTACGAGCAGTTGGCTTTCCGGATAGAGGGAAAGATTAGAGTACGATCCTTTCCTTTCCTTGCAACAAGTTATCGAGCTAACAACATGCGCCAGGGATTCGATGAGTTCATGAACTTGGTCGTTGATGATGCGGTGGAAGTGAGAATGGCTACAAAGACTGATGAGGAGAAGCGGAGAAGCCTGGGTATGAACTGCTGCCACTGACTACTTGATATCGCAAGTGAGTGGTGTTGCTAACACGCGCGTTCATCACAGGTCAAATTCTGCTCAAGGGCGACAATGTGTCTCTCATCCAGGCCGTCCAGTGATTCTACCACGAAAGGAGGAAAAAGTTTCTATTCATCTACGGCAGCTTCGATTTCCACACAGCCATATACTTTACGGTTTGGCCGCTGAAGGACAGTTTTATGCATAATTGAATAGACGGGTTCTTTGCTTTCGTGAAGACTCTTTCTCGGAGTGGTTATATCAGGGTTGGCGAACAAGAAAGCGGCCGTCGCCGACAATGAGCATGTCTACTGGCCAGTCGTGATCCGCAACGGGTATTTCCTCAGTCAAGGGAAGCATTTGCTCTTTGAGGGAAAGCGCAACTGTATGGAATTAGTAAGGTCACTTTACGGGAGTTTCGGGTTTCGGATGCGGCTGCTTCTCACCGAGTAAAGGCATTTTTGATGTTGTCGTCTTACTCTCGGCTACCTTTTTCGAGTATCTTGTCAAGAAATGATCATAGTAACCTTTACCATGACCAAGTCTTCGGAACCCTTGATCGAAAGCCATTCCAGGCATGATTATCAAATCAAGCCCCTCGAATCTCTGCGTAGCATCCTCCACCGTCCTTGGGGAGACACCAACTGTCCCAAAACAGTTTCTCTTGTTCCCAACCTGCGCCTTGGTGAGCGATGGTATTCCCCACTTATCAGGTTCAAGAGATTTGAATTCTTCCATAGACTGCAGAACCAGCATGTCCATGATGGAGGTCTTCTTCTGCGTCGAAGATGGTGAGTCTATGCTATGGATATACGGCACGAATACCTCTTTGCCGTGAGTCAAGGCGTCTTGGACTATGGCCGTAGTTGAAAGTTCACCTGAAGGCATGGACAGGTAGACACCGATCCTCTTGGCATTTTGATACTCAGTGAGGGAGAATAGCTTATCCGCAGCAACTCTGGCTATGCTTAGTTAGCTCACTGTGGATTTGTTGGCGATAAGAATGTCTGACATTGATGAATGATTGACTCATTGGGGGTTTTTTGAAGAACATCACGGATCTTCTTGCGGAGGTCCCTTTTAGCTGTCTGTAGACCGGAAGACATCATTATTGCTACGGCTGGCAGAGTATGGTATCAATGCGCATTCTTCGAACACTTCAAGACGTGATCAATGTTGTTCAACAAGCGCATGAATTTGTTCAATATTCCGTCGATGCGATTTGGCCTTAGGTATTCTCCGATATTCCCGAAGGTCACCACGTCTTGGCACATTGTTATGTGGAGTATCCGCATGGTTGGATCGACAGGGCCAGGTAATTCTACATACCAGTCATGGCTCACCTCGTTCACTGCAATGAAGGGCAAGTTGTCGCTCAACATGGCATCCCTTCACGAGTTGTTCCTCATCTTGCTACACATCGCTTTACCTGACGCTGCTAGGCTCTTGCTTGGATACGCTGAAAGATGATTGTCGGATACTTGCTGCTCAACTTCCTCGTCGCCGTTGTCAGCGCCAGTAGTGTTGCCGATCTGGTTGGGACGTGGACAACTAAGTCTCGCAGTGTTGTGACAGGCCCGGTAGGCTCTCTCCAGGCGCACAGTTGCTGATATTCCCGTGTGGTCTGCATCAATCTCTAACGTCTCGCTGTATCTTGCAGGATTTCTACGATCCGGTCGACGACAAACTGCTCGAACCAAGTCTCACTGGCATTTCATATTCATTTACTGCAGATGGATACTATGAACAGGCGTACTACCGGGCCATTGCCAACCGTCAGTTGCTGCCCACACTTTCTCGTCGGAGGCTGTTTTCTGACATGATTTGTATTCACCAGCCACAACGCCTTCCTGTCCTAAAGGTATCATGCTGTGGCAGCATGGCAAATATACTGTGATGCCAGATGGATCCATGCAACTGACTCCAATCGCGGTCGACGGCCGCCAGTTGGTATCAGATCCATGCTCAAAAGACGTGGGCATGTACACAAGATACAACCAGACCGAGACTTTTAGTGTACGCTGAGGACCTCTCGCATCCCTCTGATATCGTTGCTAACTGTCAGTAGTCATTTACGGTCTCCATAGACTCATACCATCGCGTCAAACGTTTGGATCTCAAGGCATTCGACGAGACCCCAATGCCCCCGATGTATCTTATTTTTAAACCTCCTCAGATGTTACCTACGAAGACCTTGAACCCGGTCAGCTTTGAGACGGGGAAGGGTAAGCGCCATATTGCCCGAGATATAGGATCTCCTATGGGCATGAACACTCTGATGAGGAGCGATCACATCGGCGACCCGGACAAATGGCTATGGTTTGGTGTTCTGATGACGGCCATGGGCGGAATTGCTTTGATCTATTCTTGACTTTCTAGACTGCAATGACTCTTCCAGGTGCATCATGCATTTGCATTTAGAGCTCATTGGTGTTCGAGATCTTGATGTACACAAATGGTCATATACTGCAATGAAGATTCTTGCATGTCACTTCGCGTTGGAGGTCCTCTTCCCAGGGAATGGAATCAAACATGTCATTAGTAACTCTTTCACTGTTCCGCGCCCCAAGCAGTTCCTGAGTGCTGGATAATAGAAGGAAGAGAGGAAAGACTAATATCTAGTTTACATCATAATACAAGGGGTTCTATGATACATCATTTCTTCTCACGTGGAAGCGACGGCCTCTTTGGCGATCTTCGCAACTTCTGCTCTCTCTGCAGGCTTGCCATCCAGGGCACCGCCAGGAGCAAAGAGAGATTTCAGTAGAGCGCCGACATCGACCTTCTTGCCGGCTTCCTTCAACTTTGAGAGTTCCTGCGACACGATCGCCTTGACGTCTTCCGGGCTCATCGTCTCCACTTGGCCGGCATACTCCTCCAGAATTGTGACCTGTGCATCTTCCTTCTCCTTCAAATCGGGCCGGTCGGCGTCTGCGAATTGTTTTGCTGCCTCCTTGGCAGCAGCCGCACGCTTTCGAATGAGCGACAGCAGTTGCAAGTCTGTCTGTATCGGCGATGAGGTCTTTGCGGAGTTATTCGTTTCCGAGATCAGCGCGCGGAGGACGTTCAATCTGGACGTATGTCAGTTAACATCGGACTTGGATTTTCGAACGTAGCATGAGAAATACCTGGCCGTATCCTTCGCCCTCATGGCAACCTTGAGATCTGATCTAATCTTGGCCATTAAGGGCGGCGAAGCTGGGCTGGCAGTCGAGTTCCATCGCACTGGACTCAGGTTCAGCCGACTGGTCGACCTCAAAGTTCTGAACATTTTTTTTTTCCTGAGCGCAATCAATTGATTGAATTGATCAGAAGCAAGACCGAAGGAAATTAGAATAAATCACAATTTCATGGGTGGAGCCTAACAATGTTTATTGAGGACTTGGAATGAAATCATTGTCGGGGAACACAGAAAAGGCGGAAAGCTGCTTGGGGCTATTGATCTTGGCTGGTCCGTGCACAATTTTGTTTCTCTTCTGCTGTGAAGTTCCCATTCTGCCAGTTACCTGCTTTTTGTCGTCACAATTGGCTCTCAATACAATAATAATAATAATTTGATGAGAACCAACACTCTTTGATGCTAATACTGATCTGTTACAGCGTCCAGTTACTTGCTTATGCTTGGTCCCTAGCCTCTCTTTTCCTCTAAAGTCGTTCCTCCCTCACCTTTACCACGCTGAACGAAGTACCACCACGCCGGGGAGCGCGACATATTCTCCCCAAGCCGTTGACGGCGACAGCACGAAATCATGTCATACCCCAATCTTCCGACCCTGACTCCTCAGAAACATCTTCCTGGAGCCTTCTTTCAGACTCCCGCACCTAAGAATGTATTGAACACGTCGCTCATCTCTCCCAAGCCAGCTCCTGCCCCAGCGGAGAGAGCTTCGCCAGCTTCTCTTCCGAAGCTTCCTCCGGCAGCATCGAAGTCCCAGAGCCAAACGCTGAGCATCGAGGAGCGTGCTGCAGGCACAATAAACGATACGCTCGTCCAGGAATCTCGGTATCCGGACCTGGATAGCTACCTGTCTCGTAAGGAAATGTTGATCGCCTTGGTTCTTCTTTCGGTCTGGCTGACAGTTCCTTCGCAGAAGGGTTTTCTTCCGATTACGAGATCCCCACCTCGCCGTCATGGGCGCCCTTTCAGAAAGTGAAGATGTATAATATCCCCGATCAGATCTTTGATCAGTATAATCGAGCACAGGTTTCCACGAGTATGGGTCTCTTCGCCGAGTTGAATCACGCCTGGGTTGCCATTGACAACGCGCTCTACATCTGGGACTATACGCATCCGAATCCACAACTGGTCGGGTTTGAAGACCAGCCCAACAGTATCAATGCCGTCAAGCTGGCAAAGCCTCGCGCCGGAGTGTTCCTACCTTCAGTTACCCACCTTCTTGTTGTATCAACGACTGCCGAGGTCATTTTGCTGGGAATGGGTTGTGAAACAACGCCGGGGGGTGCGCGACAAGTCAGCTTGTACCAGACCGGCATGGCGGCCTCTATTCGTGGCCTGGATATTCATGTCATCGCTTCGTCGGATGCGACCGGTCGTATCTTCTTCGGCGGCTCTACCGACAACGATGTCTACGAGCTCACATATCAACAGGAGGAACGGTGGTTTCAAGGTAGATGCGCCAAAGTCAACCATACCAGCTCGCGCATCTCGGCTTTCACGCCCAGTCTGAGTTTCACCCAGAAGACCACTGAGACGGTGGAACAGATGGAGATTGACGACACAAGGAGACTTCTCTACACTCTGTCGTCATCGTCGACCATTAGAGTTTTCCACATGAAACCAGACGGTACCTTGGCTTTGGCTATCACCAAACCAGCCATGGACATATACGCGAACATTGGGCACATCATTGCGTCCAATGAGACTCTCAACCCGAAAGTTCCAATTGTGTCCATTAGCCCTATCCCAGCTGCTGAAGCCTCGAGATATCATTTAATGGCCACAACCGCAACCGGTTACCGTATCTATCTCAGTGCGACGGCCTCTTATAGCTGGTCGCCAGCTCCGAATGGCACGAATGCGCCGACAAGCATGCAGGCGCACCATGTGAAGACTCCACCTTTCGACAACCCTCCTTCTACGCCGGTGGAGCTGGGTCAGTCACGGTTCCAGACCTCCGGAGCATCTAGGGTTCCCATACATTCTCTCAATCCTACCAGGTTCAGCGTTCGATACCCGCCAGGGTATTTCTTCTGCTTCACATGCAAGGATCCCACGCAGAAGACCGACACACTTTTCATCTCTTCTCCCGACTCTGGCCGAGTGGCTCGCTCTCAAGAGAATGTCATCCCTGGAAAGGCAGCTGAGACAGGCATCTGGCTCTCTCTGGGTAGCAGGGCAGAGGACGTTGGTTTCTGCTCCGCGCCTAGCGCGGCTGCCTTGACCCCGGGAGGATTCGGCAACGAACTTGCCGTTCAGTTTGACAGCGCTGCCGCCGAGATCGCGATTCTGACCAACACCGGCATTCATGTGATTCGCCGCCGCCGACTCGTTGACATGTTTGCTGCATTGGTTCGGGGTGGTGGTAGTGGCGGTGATGAGGGGCTCGAGGGCGAGGTCAAGAACTTCATTCGCACGTATGGCCGGAGCGAGACTCTTGCGACGGCGCTTGCAGTCGCGTGTGGACAGGGAGTCGAGGTCTCTACGGATTCACGCCTGACTCAGATCAATGATCCTGATGTTTTGGAGTTCGCGCGTAAAGTGTTCATCGAGTACGGAGGCCGGCCGACGGTGAATGAGAACGCGGTCGCAGACAGCTCCACGCCAGCCATCGACACGGTTATCCTATCGCCCAGGCATACGGGCATCGCTCTCTACATGTCAAGACTACTACGGTCGATTTGGAAGAAGGAAATCGCAAGGGTCGGCAGCGGCCCCAATGGTGCACAGACGATCTCGGCATCTGTGGCGACAACGAAGCTGCAGAGTGTACAGCGTGACCTGTCTGCTCTGCAAGATTTCTTCAAGGCGAATAAGAGTTTCATTGAGGGATTGAGCGGTCCTGAAGCCTTGGCCCGTGTGTCGACAAAGCAGGAAGAAACGGCGCTGCAGGCCGAACATAGAGCGCTGCATTCGCTGGTTCAGTTGGTT